AGAGGGCGTCAGCCAGTGTCTGACGCCGAGGTTGGTGCACCAAACTCGGCGTCAGACACTGGCTGACTCTCTCTCTCTCTCTCTCTCTCTCTCTCTCTCTCTCTCTCTCTCTCTCTCTCTGTGTGTGTGTGTGTGTGTGTCCATCGGGCCACTACGATATTAAATTAATTTTTATGGGCTTCGGAGAGGTCATATGGGTAAGGTTGCTTGCTCGACCCCTCCAGCGTTGCCTCTGTTTTGCACTGCAGCAGAGTACGGCGTGGCCCTATTCCCCTTCGGGGGAGCTATAAAAAAAAATAAAAAAAGAAAAGATATGTTCCATGACATGGCAGAAAGCCAGTTAAAATATGTGAGGTGAGAGTATATATATTTATATAATATCTATAGAAAAGCCAGTTAAAATATGTGTGGTGAGAGTATATATATATATATATATATTGTCACAATGGAAATCAGAGCGCAAAGGCGGAAAAAGACAGAACAAAAAAAAGAAAAAGAAGTAAGGAAGGAAAGCCCCACCCGTTCGTCACCTCTTACGTACAAGGCCAGCCACGTGGATGACAGGTTGAGCGCTGGCTGCCGCCATCCCCGTGTGTCATAAAGACCCACTTGCACGCAGCCAAAAGGCAAAGAGGTAAAGAAAAGGCGGAGGAAACCGAACCTCACAGAAGAAAGCCTATTAAACCACCAGTACCTGGCCCAGCTATCGGCCGCGGCACTTCCCGTATACGCGCCGCGCCATTTGGGCTTCGGCCTGCCCGACCGCATTGGCTGGAGGCCGCAGGCAAAACGAAAAAGAAAATTGCGACGGCGGTTCGGCAGGACTTGGCGCGCACTGGGAGGCTCGGATTCAATAGCTGAGCGAGGTACTGGTGGTTTAAACAGACGAAGCAAGTGACACATCCCACAGATAATCCAATTACCATCCCACAAAACATATTTTACTTTTTTCTTTTCTCTTTTATATATTTATATATATATCGTTATATATCGTCAAATATATATATATTGTCACATGATATCAGAGCGCAAAAGCAAATAAAAATAAAAACAAGAAAAAATCAATTCATTTTTCATCTTCTTACTTACAACTCCCCCCGTTCAAAACCTCTTGCGTACAAGGCCGCCCACGTGGATGTAGGTTGAGCGGCGGCTGCCCCCACCCCCGTGTGTCATATCGACCCACTTGCACACAGCCAAAAGGCAAAGAGGCAAAGAAGAGAGGAAGGGAACAGCCAAATAAAACAGAACAGGGGGCAACAAAACAGATCCCAGATGACAAGTCCCACATGCAAGCACCGCCCCTCCGTCGCAGGCCAAACGACGGGACAAGACCAACCAGGATGTCAAACATTCTTGTCTGCAAATATATATACATATATACACATTCTGCAGACTGTTTTTGAGGGTTCAGCCTCCTGACCAGTCGGTGAAACTCCGACGAAACAGTTTGTCACAGCCCCCCCTCGTTTGTTGTCCTCTTCTCCTCTTCTCCCTCCCTTTCTGCCCCTACGGTTAAGATTGGTACTTAACTGCATCCCCCAGAACGGATTTCTCCTTGTCCCGGTGTACCCAGTCACACTCACACCCGGCCACACAGGAGGGAGAGGAGGGAGAGGAGGGAGAGGAGGGAAGGAGAAAA